ATCTAGGGGAAAAATCAAGTTTCAGATAATCAGCAAAATGGAAATATTACAGAGACAGATTATAGGGCAAGAGGTATGGGTTGTGACAGGGACAACTATATGACTGGTCAAGGAAGAATAGGTAGCTGACACCAGGAGCTCTTTCATCTCTATTGCTGTGCACTGATTTCCTATTTTAGTTTAGGTATAAGTGCTCATTTTACTTGTGTGAAGAACAGTCTTTATATGTGGCAAAAGAAGACACAAAGATAGGTGTCTTACCTCTTGTGTGATACACCTATCAAAAAGCTGGTGGAGAGGTTGTGATACGGACCTTCAGTTATCAACAACTACTGCATGTCTTTTTTTTTTTGCTAAAAGCAGGGAATGACAACAATTCTTGACCTGCCTTTGGTTACTTTCCTATTTCAGAAGGTAGAGGAAGTAATGAGGGGAGCTGCTATGCTGGGCCTGATTCTGATCAATAAGGAAAGGACTAACTGGTTCATGAAATTGCTGTCCTGGACACCACCACAATGGAGGATCAATTCGCCTGAGATCAAGAAAGAACAAACTCAAAAGAAGGAGAGGCAGCTACTTGTTTGTAGCCACACAGAGGCCAGGATTGTGGTCAAGGACTAGAGGAGAAAGTTCCTGCAGATATCTGTGATTACTGAGAATGCCCGAGCTCAAGCTCCAGCTGATCTGGCCCTGGAAAGTATGTAGAAACTGAGGCTCAGAAGGACACACAAATGGAACGTGGCAGGGCCAGGATGTCTTCTTTGAAGGGTGGTCAAATGAGAGATTTAGATTGATGATGCTTAGCCCTAGAGGACAAAACTAGGAGCAGTGAACTACAAAGATGTTGCAGGGAAGATCTGGGCTTGAGGCCCCATTCCTGACTCTTCAGACGTTGTCTACAATGCCTTCTTAGAGGTACCTTTCCCTCTTTCCCCTGTCACCTTCCTTTACTGTGTTGTCTTTCCTTAATAGAATGTAATCTCTTTGAGGGCACGGATTGTCTTTCTTTCTGCTTATATCTACAGTCTTAAGAGCTTAGCACAGTCAAATGCTTACTGACTTGGCTGGAGCAGCAAAAACAGGAATGGGGGTGGGTTGACTTACATTATCTAAGATTTTATTTATTTATTCATTCATTCATTCATTTAGGCTAGGCTAGGCAATGGGGTTAAGTGACTTGCCCAAGGTCACATAGCTAGTAAGTGTTATGGGTCTGAGGCCAGATTTGAACTCAGGTCCTCCTGAATCCAGGGTTGGTGTTCAATCCACTGCACCACCTAGCTGCCCCAAAGATTTTATGATAGATAAATATGGAAAATATACCCTAGACTTTAAAAAAGCAAATTTCAGAGCTATTCAGAGAACTCTGTAAAATGTATAAAAGACTGAATCACTTTCAGGTAATGGAAGACAGCTAGGTGGCACAGCGGATAGAATGTAGAGTAAGAAAGACCCGAGTTCAAATACTGCCTCAGACACTTACAGAATGTGTCATGTGGCAGCTCTAAGCCTCAGTTTCCTCGTTTGTAACAAGAGGATAATAATAGCACCTATTGGGGCAGCTAGGTGGCACAGTGGATAGAGTACTGGTCCTGGATTCAGGAGGACCTGAGTTCAAATATGGCCTCAGACACATAACACTTACTAGCTGTGTGACCCTGGGCAAGTCACTTAATCCCATTGCCTAGACAAAAAAAAAAAAATAATAGCATCTATTCCTCAAGGTTGTTGTGCAAATTAAAGTTATATAAATGCTAGGTATTACATGATTAATGATAGACCATGTTAAGGGCTGTAAAGGGCTCCCCTGAACTTGTCTTTTTGAGTTGCCATATTTTCCAGAAACACTGAACCCAGAGTATGCAGGAGGCCCTGAATGTGTCAATGACAAAGCCCTACCCCTCAGCTGACATACTGTGTTGTTTGCATCCCAAGCTGGATTCTCTGTGTGTCTTTGGGAGGCAAGACAGGCGCCAGCTAGTCTGTGCCAGGCTGGGAAAATGCTTGTGCAGCTGGGATCCTTTGCAGATAAGTGGACCCTCCTATCTTCATAGTCCAGCGGTTCCCAAGGAAAAAGAATGCGACTTCTGCATTCACTTGCTCCTCCCCTTTGGGAGGGGTTACTGCACCTCCCCCCCACCCCATGCCACATCCCTTCCTATTTTCTCCTCCTCCTTTTGCTGTACTGTTATCAACATGCAAATTTTTGTAAGGACTGTGAACTCTTTGGATTCCACATGCATGTTCATTTCTCTTGTAATAAACCTGGTTCTCTTGTAATAAGTCCCATGATGTTGTGATTGCCTGTTGACACAGAGTACGAAAGATTAGCACCTGTATCTTAGGAAAAGTGTCAGGAGGTCTAAATCTCAGGATGGTCTAAGGATTCTGAAAGCTAAGGAAGACAGAAAAGACTTTTCAGGTTCCATGGGGGAGGGGAACAGAAAAATAACCACAAAGAATGGATTGGTCAGATAACTGGAATAGATAGGATTGTGATAATGGATGACCGAGAAAGTTAAACTAGTCAATCCTAATTTGGTTCTGCCTTCCCTAAAAATGAAAATGATATTCAGACCAAGAAGAACTTAACAAATACAGATAACAGAGGCAGGGGTGATTTTTGGATTTGGCATCAGAGAACTAGAGTTTAAATTTATACCTCTTAGAACCTTAGAAGACAAAGTGACTGCACAAGCCATTTAACTGGGTCTCAGTTTCCTCATCTGTAAAATGAGAGGAGTAGAAGCAACCAACTATGTCAAACTCAAGTAGAATGGATCTCTGCAGGCTACATATTGACTTAGAAAAACCACAAGTTAACATTATCCATGTTGTGTTATATTTTTATTTATTTTGTAAAACATTTTCTAATTATATTTTGGGGCAGCTAGGTGGCGAAGCTGGATAGAGTGCTGGCCCTAGAGTCAGAAGGACCCGAGTCTGAATTTGACCTCAGACACTGGGCAAGTCACTTAACTCTGTTTGTCTCAGTTTCCTCATCTATAAAATGAGCTGGAGAAGGAAATGACAAACCACTCAATATCTTTGCCAAGAAAATCCCAAATGGGGTCACAGAGAGTTGGACATAATTGAAAATGACTCAACAACAACAAATTGTATTTTAATCTGGTTGGGGCTGCACAAGGGAGTTCAGGTTGCTTGTAGCCACGGGCAGTAACTTTGACACCTCTGGACTAGATGATTTCTAAGACTCTTTCTGGTTCTAAATCTGTGATCTTGTGTGAATTAGGGCCTGAAACCTGAGGCTAGTGAGGAGGTAGTAAGTTAGTACCCAGATGACCTAAATGAGGGAGTTACTTTGGCTGAATTATATATGATAGAGAGGATGACTAATATATTTAAAGACAGCACTGAGGTATGAAATAATTTCCCAGTAAGCTAGAAAGAGGGCCCACATCTAATAATATGAAAATGAATAAGAACCAATCCTAAACCCTGCACTTAGGTTTAAAAAAAAAATCAACCACAAGTCTTATATGAGGGAAATGTGGCTAGACCACAGTTTATGTAAAAATGACTCAGGGATTTTAGTGGACTGCAGACTCAATATAAATGAACTGTGACATGGCAGCCAAAAAACTTAATGTGACTGGTATCTTACTGTATAGAAGTTTAGTATCCAGAGTAAATGATTTGATTGTCCTATGGTACTATGCCAGGCTTTTGGCTGTTGTATGGAGAAAGATGATTTTGCCAGTGGTTATAAACGGTGGTTTGAAAGCAGGGGAGAGTGCAGGCTGGAAGAGCTGATGGGAAGTGCTCATAAAACTCCAGGAGAGACTAATGAGGGCCTGTATTGGGATTGTGGCAAAGGAAATAAAGAAGAGAGATGGCTACAAACAACACTGTAGAGGTGGAATCAATATGATGTCATAATTGATTCTATATGAGATGTGAATGAGAAGAAAGAGTCAAGAGAATTCAAATACTTAAAATATGGATGCAGTGTAAATGGTGGTATCATGCAGAGAAATAGTAAATCAGAAAGGGGAGCAAATTTAGAGGAAAAAATTATTATTTTGGTTTTGAATGTGTTGATCTGGACATATTAGACTGGGAACTCTTGAGGGAATTCAGAGGCTGTTTTTTTGGTGTGTTTTTGTGTGCATGTGGGTTTGCTTCCCTTTGTATCCTCAGGGTGGGGCACATAGGAAGTGCCTAATTAATGCTAAGTGACTGATGTGGCTCAAAAGAGAAGTCAGGGTTAGTGCTATGGATTTGAGAGCTATGACAGTGAATGAATCTGCCTAAAGAAAACATAGGGTTGAAGACAGATCTCTGAGGGAAAGATTTTCATTAAGGGATTAGGAAGAAGATGAGAAGCAGTAGGAGACAAAGAATAGTTTCTGAATCATGAAAAACTATAGCTATTTTATTTTTAATGCCAAAGTCTCCTTATTTACTTATTCTACATGAGGCACTAGTTTAAACAAAGCTTTTTTGGGGCAAAACTGCCTACATAGAGAAGGAGGAGAACTGGGAGGTTGTGATGTCCCTGAAGCCAACAGAAGTGAGACTATCCAACAGGAGGGAGTGGTCAGCAGATTCAAAAGCTGCAGAGAAGTCAAGCAGAATGAGCACTAAAAAAGTAAAAGAGCCATTGGATCTGGCAACTAAGGTCATTAGTGACTTTTAAGAGAACAGAAATAGGACTATTGGGTAGAAATGAAAGAAAAAATTATTAACAACTAAGTGCTTTAATAAATTTTATTAGAGAACAAATTCTAATAAATTTGTTAATAAATTTATTTACAATTAAGTGTTCTCCAAAAAATGGAATGGGCCGCCATGATGACATGAATTTCTTATCACGGGAGTTGTGTGAGCACAGGGACCAGAAGGCCACTTGTAAAAGTTATTTTGGAGGGGAGTCATGCTTCTGGGTATGACTGGACTAGATTGCCTTTATGGTCCCTCATAGCATCAAGATTCTCTATGACTGTAAAGCAACATTTTCCTGAGGATCACACACTTACCATTTGGCCGCACAGGAGGGCTTCGAACCAAAGGGCTGGTGGACAAACTGGTTAGTACCATTGCTGCTGTTACTTTATCCATATCCAGTTCTTCTGAAGATTTCCTAAGATAGAGCAAAGGATGAGACAACACAGGTGAGGGCACCACACTCATAAAAAAAGAGCACTTTTGCAATCATTTATCTGCCTGATGAGGCTGCTTTGGTTCACGAAATTTGGTCAATCAGCTAGACTGAATGGAAAAACAACATGATAGTCTTTTGATTAGTATAATGACTACTGTGAATCACTGTCCACTCCAGTTTAGACTACTAAAGAGGTTAATATCAGAAAGCTGAAATCACATGGTATACCAGGAACTGTCTCAATCATGCCAAATGCTGAGAAAACAACACATTAAAATGAGAAAAGTGCAATATGAAATTAACAAACCACATATACAATATAGTGACCTTTTTCATATGTAGCTTTAATTCATAGATATGTTATATAATTTGTAAAAGCAATGAAATCTTGAGATAATTTCAGAGAGGAATTTTATAGTACAGTGGAAAAAGAGGCTTCTATATTAATGACAGATCAGATAAAATTTATCATTCTGCTTAAAGTGAATTTAACCTGAAATCATCCATTTATTAATGAGCATTTATTAAGAACCTACTATCTGCTATTCACTGTACTAAGTCCTAGAGATACAAAGACACAAATGAAATAGTCTGAAATCTTCGAGGAGCTCACATTCTACCAAACAGATTTAGAGAAGGAAAAGATCTCAGCACCCCCCCCCCCCCCAAACCCAAGAAACCACAAAAATTACAACAAATCAGTCAATATATGGAAGCAATGACCATGAAACTATTTAGCAACTTTGATTCTATAGTAATTTTTATGCCAACCACCAAAATAAACATGGTAAGATCTAGGATGATCTACATTTTTTTAGTCATTTGTGTAGTGGTAATGATATGGTATAATGTGAAATACTTCTTGTGAAAGCCCGTTTGCATCTAACAGTTCCAACAATGACGCTCTCACTGGCTGTTTAGAATATTTTCATAAAAATTTAATATAGAAGAGAAGTCAGCACATGGGTAGATAGTTATTGATCATTTCTTGGTTACTTTTTTGGGCAGTAATAATGCCAAAGACTTTTTCCATGCCTTTGGTATATTATCCCTCTTTTATATGCTTTGAGATCATTCCCTCAGTGTCCTCAAAATCATGCTGTTTTGAGCATAGATCTCTTCTGGGAATAGTTGGTCTCATTTAGATGCTTCTTCTATACTTGTTTTCTTCAATATCTTTTATATTTCCCCTATAAGGACATTTGAAACTGTTGGAGAAAAGTGTGGAGGCTTCACTGTACTTGATAATGAAAGAGTGTGTTAGATTAAAAAAAAAACCCAACAATAACTTTGTAGGTCTTTTCCATCTTTTGTCTGTTTTCCTCCTTTTTAAGTTTCATTCTTAAATGCCCTCAGGATGACTTTGCTTAGCTGAGCCTTTGCAAAACCTTCTTTAAAGTAGTTTTGTTCTCCATGTTTCTTTCTGTTTTATGGAGAAATATTGTTCATAATCTTCCATGATCCTTCTCTGTAAGACTTTACAAAGGAATTTATATCCTAAACTTGTGTTGCTCTCAGCTTCCCAATGAAGTCTTTACTTGGCAGGTAGGTTAACTATTTTATTATTAAGGCCTTAAAAATTATATTGATTAAGTTTGTGTACAAAATTATTATAATCAGTGTCAATGTCCCTTTGTCCATCCCAAAGAATATGAATATATATAAACATATATTTATGTGTGTATACACACATATAAATACAATATAAAACATATATACATACACATATATATTTATGTATACGTATATATGTATCACAGAAGTTAGGTAGCACAGTGGGATAGAGCGCTGGGCCTACAGTCAGGAAGACCTGAGTTCCAAACCAAAATTAAACATTTATTAGCTATATGATCCTGGTAAGTCACTTGACCTCTGTTTCTCTCAGTTTTTTCATCTGTAAAATGGGAATAATAGTACCTGCCTTGCAAGGCTGTTGAGAGGCTCAAATGAGATAATAATTGTAAAGTGTTTAGCATGGTGTCTGTTACATAGGAAGCACTAATATAAATGTTAGCTATTATTATTATTATTATTATTATTATTATTACCTACCTCCCAGGGTTGTTGTAAGGATCAGAGGAGATAATATTTGTAAAGTGTTAAGCACAGTGCCTGGCATATAATAGGTGATTAATAAATGCTTATTTCTTTTCTTCCTTCATGTGAATTATATGTGACTATTTTAGTAATTATTTTAGAAAGCTTTCCACATGTGTAAAATCTCCCTAAAGATGTAGCAGTTTGTGTGTGTGTGTGTGTGCGCGCGCGTGAGCGCGTGCATGTATCTCATTTTCCTTTATGTTTGTTCTCTCAGATATATACAAGGCAGTAGTGTAAAAACATTTTCATTTCATTACACACACTACCATATAATTACTGATTGGATGTGGCTACACCTTCAAATACTTATAATTAAACATGAAGACATACAACACAGATTTGAATTTACTATTCTCTTGGTAACTGCTGAAAAGGGCCTCCCAATTATCTGGGTCATTGAGAAATAATTTAATTAAATTTAACAAATATTTATTAAATATCTGGATCAAGGTGATAGGCTTTAGAGCTGGAAGGGACTTTAGAGCTCTTAACTTTTACAGATGAGGAAAACTGAGGCCTACAGAAGGCAAATATTGCTTGCATAAGGTCCCTCAGGCACAGTAAAGTCACAGAACTGGGTTTTGAGCCCCAAGCACTCTTGACATCAGGTTCAGTACCCTTTCCACCATGTCATGCAGTCTACTATATGTAAAGGACAAAACTACAATTTACATTAAATATTTTTTCTGGAATTTGAAACTAGTTTTGAATCAATTATGTACTACAATTTTCTTAAAGGCCTAAGATTCTTTTCAGGTAATTTAGAAGGCCATAATGCAATGGTATCTCTTTCATTAATTGAACATCGTTAAGTACTGTATCTAAAGCATGAGGTTAATTTTCTCGGATGGTCCCAGAATTTTGGAATAAATGCGGTTAAATAATAAACAACTTCACCTCTTGAAATTGTCACATTGTTATTCAGTCATACCTTTTAAAAAGAATATTTTTCTGCCCATTAAATGAAGTGTATTAAAATCACATTTTGTTACAGGGTTTAGCAAATTAAAAACTAGTCAATAGAGATGTTTATGGAAGAAAAAAAATAAGTTCTCAAATTGGCAAAAAATACATCTTAGTGATATAATCATTTGGCTCAGTACCACTGGAATCTCATGCAAAAGAACTTATCTTAGAGTAGAGGGCAGGAGGCTTTAGAATTAAAAGGGGCTTAAAAACCATCTGGTCCATCCCAGAATTTTATAGAGGAGGAAACTGTGGCCTGGCTTCAGTGACTTGCCCAGAGCCCCCAGGTCGTAAGAGGGAGAGCTGAATTTCAAACTCATTTCAAGTCCAACACTCAATCCTTCATACCAGATTGTTTATGGCTAACTGAGATTTAAGAAACATTACACAGGAACCAATCAACACTAGGACACAATCAGCTGTTGCTGTTGTGGTTGTTCAGTCATTTTTCAGTCGTGTCTGACTCTCTGTGACGCCATTTGAGGTCTTTTTGGCAAAGATACTGGAGTGGTTTGCCATTTCCTTCTCCAGATCATTTTACAAATGAGAAAACTGAGGCAAACAGGGTTGAATGACTTGCCCAGGGTCACAGAGTTAGGAAGTGTCTAAGGCCGGATGTGAACTCAGGAAGAGGAGACTTTCCAACTCGAGGCCTGGCACTTTATCCACTGTGCCACCTGTATTGAAAGGAGATTTGTTATTTAATATGTGATGCTGATCATGCCAGATTTTTTCGAGTGCACTTAACCCTCTGAAAACTACCTAAGTTCCTTCAGGCCCAAATGGCCCTATACTAAACATATCATAGTAGCTTTTAGTGGGCATTTTAAAAACCTGAAGACTTATGCTGGTTACTGGTGATAGGAGTGAAGGTAGGAAAGGATGCTACCCTATGTGGTCTCCAGACTTTGGCCGTGGATGCTACGGAAGTTCTACACCTATTTGGAAGCAGTTCTGGGGTATAAATAAATTCACACGAAGTCCCAGATTTGTTTGCTACTTTACCACCATTCTCCCTCAGACAGTGGCCCATTATTAAAAAAATATTCTTCCAGTGATGCTGTGTGGCTTCAAGGAATGGGAAACCAGAGTTTCCAAAGAATCAATGTGTGAGTCAACAAAAAGACAATGCAGAGGGTCCTATGACATCATCAATCACCTTATGCTGTGGATAATTCTCTCTTATCTGGGTTTTCACGGTGGTGCTGCTCTCTCAATTCTCCTATCTATCTGGTCATTTCCTTTTGGACTCCTTCATTATATCATGATTCATATCCCAGCCCCTAACTGTGGCTTTATCATAAAGGTCTGTCCTGGGCCCTCTTCTCTTTTCTCTGAGTGAATATCCTTTATTAAGCATTTATTCTGTGTGAGGGACTGGATGGAAAAATACAAAAGCAAGACAGTCCCTGCCCCCAAGAGTTTATATTACGAAGAAATGAACCAGAAAAGGAGAAAGAGGTGATTAAACATCAAAAACGAAGGGGACAGGTATGGTGGTGCACACCTCTGATTCTTGCTACTGGGGAGGCTGAAGCTTGATCACTGAGCTTGGGAGTACTGAGCTATGGTAGGACCAAAGCTAACTGGGTGACTGCACTATGTCTGGCACCAATATGGTGAGCCCATGGGAGCGACAGTTACCAGGTTGCCAATGATGGGGGTGAACTAAGCTAGGTCAGAAGCTGAGCAGGTGAAAGCTTCCCGTACGCTCAACAGTGGGATCAGACCCATGAGATCTACTTCCCGCCTGAGCAGGGTGGGGAGACCCAGTCTCCCGACAAAACACCAAACAAAACAGAGAGGGAAGGATAATACATGGAAAGCCCAAGTGCTGCAACAGTATCCACAAGATACTGGAAGATTGCAAAGAAGGTCCCCAGCACATTTGGGCCTGCAGATTCTCCATGGAG